TGGTTGGCGTACACACATCTGATTTATTTGATAATGGGTGCCAATTCATTTAGGTGGTAGAATAAATGGAACACATACATACTCCGTCTGATTTCAGTAACTAACATTGTTTTGGAAACTATTCTGCTTTAATAAAATATCCAGAAAATAATATAATAAAGCAATGTGAACTTAATGACTTTAGTTAAATAAGTGTTATTGTTTCTGTTATGTACTTGATTATTCTGCTCATTGAATTTTGCCTGTATTTTAACTGTCAAGCCTCTTTTTTTAATCTGACTGCTTTTTCCTACAGCAGAGAAATATTAAATGTGAAACTGCCACTGATATTGTCTGAAGGGCCTTATTCTGTTCGTTATCCCCAAGTTTAGATTTAACTTCGGGAGACAGAGAGAAAAAAAGGAGCCTTAGCATGGAATGAGAAGAGGAATATGCAGAGTGTTCTCATAGGACTTGGGCTGTAGTATATGCACAATGAGCACTGCATAACTCGAGGACGTGCAGTTTACATAAATTTTGTTGTGAATGATGCCCCCTGGAGGTGTGTAGCTTAATAATCATGTAATAGGGCTCTGTTCTATCACATATTTTTTTTTTATTTGAATTACTTATTTTCACATCTATCTCCTCCAGTATAACAGGGACGACATTTAATAATCCTTGTATGCCAGCTGTCTCAAGGTAGTCAGTAATTGCTATTAGAAAATATTTTAATATCTTGTTAGAATATTTGTCTATTCATATCATTAATTGGCAAATAGGATCTGAAGAAATCTAAACCTTAAAAACTCTTATAATTCAGATGTGAGAAATATTAATCATATTTTTATAGTTGTGCTATTCAACTATTAGAGGAAGAATGTGAATTATACCTTAGTTACTGATTCTGTATTTTAATACTTTTACCTCTTCCAACTGATTGTCATTTGGTTCATTCTTACTCATTTGTTTTACCTGTCAAATTGCTGATCACCATAATGGGCCTAGGAAAGGGAATAAATATAAGGAAATATAATTCATTTTTTCCTTCTAGAATTTCAACAGTCCATCAAATTCTGTTCCTATAGAACATAAAATATATGATCTCTATATTAAAATGGCATTGCTTCATATTCTTTTATGTAGACTGTAGTGTTATTAAAGTTGTATATATATGTATACAAACACATAAATGTGAAGGTTTTTTTTAAGAAGGAAGATATTTAGATGACTTGACTTTTACTTAGAAAAGTACATTAGATCCACATGGCAATTTTAACTGCAGTCTTTCAAATCGGGCCAAAGAATGGGGAAAAAAAGAAAACATTGAAAAGAAGAATTAGAACATTTAACTTCTGTGCCATCCATAGTTTTTCAAAGACTCATATGTCCCTCTACTCAAAGATTTTAGTACATAAAGATTGTGTCCTAAGGGGGGACCTAAGTACAGCACCTTTATAGAGAAGGCATTATATCTTCTAAAGGAAATAGTAAATATTCCCAGATCTTCTAGAATGTAGGCTCACATCTTTACTTGAAAACTCTTGAGGATTTTAGCAGAAATGGATGTGGGTAAAATTTGTGAAAGTGGTATCATATAGTATTAATATAATTTTTTGGATAGACACAGATACACAAAGGTATAGCTATAACTATACAGAGATCTAGGTGTGTATTTCTAATGTCTCAGAATAAATGATTTCTCATCTTATCCATGCTTGTATTTGGCCAATAATCTGTTTCTGCACACATGAAGTCTTTTAAATTTTTCTAGCCAAACCATGGTGATAACTACAAAAATGTATAATAACCTATTAGTTTCTTAAAACCTTTTATGAAGAGAGATCACTATGCTAAATTTGCCATTTTAAAATCCTCTTTGCCTCAGAAGGGGCTTTTGAGGCAGCAGGGAGGGACCTAAAGTAAGGTGTTAACCAAAACCTACATATTTTCTTTTATGAAACTGTTATAAAATGACAAAATGTGCCTCATTTTTTAGTGGTAGAGTTTTATACTGAGAATGCATGTTGTTAGAATAAACAGAGTTAAAGGAAAACATTGGACTTTTAGGCCCAGGTCTCTTGCCATGTAAATGACTTTAAACATGCTAGTAATCACCCTTATCTGAAAAAAGTGAGTGTGACGTCTTCTTCAAAGAACATATTTTACTCTTACAATCAGAAATTGGATGGCAAATGCTATTTTTTCAAGTTAGACTAATAGCTAGCTGTTTGATTATATGTAAGTTCCTTGAGGACTTTGTGTCCTGTGTCACCTGGAACAGGGCTTTATATGGAGACTCTAGAAGAAAAAACATGTAAAGGAATTGTTGGTCTTCTTCAGTGATACTTGTCATCCTTTTTCGATATTTGACCTGAAAGAAGTGATACTTTCTTTGTCTTCAAATCATCATGCTTAAGTGTATAGCTCTCATTTGAATTGTATCTAAGTATTTTTTAAATGTGGAAGAATATTTATATTTGAAGACAGAATATATATATATATGAAATTTAACTTAAAAAGTTTCTATTCTGTGAACAAATAGATGCATTGGTGTTTTTGTTCCAGGCAAATGTCGTCATTGTTTCTTAGTGTCAGAGCACAAAAATAAATTTTTATTTCTGTTTCCTCCTAATGTAGGTTATTACTTTTATAGCTATAATCTTTGAGTTCCTTGGTAATTTGTGAATGATCTTATGATTTCTCAGGTTTTTCTGCCACAGGATGAAAATTTCTGTGCACGTGCTTTAATAACCATTGGATTTGACTTCACTATTGTGCATTATAGTAGAATCTATAGTTGCCTAATTTAGTAATAATTTTATCATAGCAGTTTAACATCTCTTATAATTTTAATTGTTATCAAGAAAAATGACATCATTTAATTTGACTCAAAATGCCGAGGGATGGATGAGTGACAAATTAATAATTTACTACCTTTGCATAATACTGAAGCATAGAGTATTAGAAGGATTGATGGGAGAAAAGGTTAACAAATTTGAGCAGCTTTCATTAGCTTTACATCGTCATATGTTTGTGGTGCTGACTGAAATAGGCTCTGTAGGAGATCTCAGTCTAGGGAACTAATTACTTGTGCCGATTGCTGCCCTGATGAATAGATCCTCATTGTATCATTCCCCTGAAGACGAGGAGCAGCCTGTGATTCACGACTGCATCCTGGCTGATATTTGATAATAATTTTAACAGATAAATGTAGGTAGGCAGAATGATGGAGTGCCTATCCAGGCTCCATGACTATCAAAGCCATACACAGAGCCATCTGTGCACTGCCTTTTTCCTTCTCACCTAAGGAGAATGTCATCTTATTAATCGAGTTCAAGCAACTGTTGTCTTTTGCTTGTATGTATATTCTGCAGGTATTTTTAATTTATCTTTAAGTGACATTATACTATTAGCTTTTATTTAAAATGTAAACAGAATAATGAAAAAATAGAATAAAAGAACTTCGTAATTTTTCTTTTTGAGGGCTGCAGTTCTTACAATATTTTGTATTCTGCTTTGATTACATTATATCTCCTCCTTTTGACCAAAATCAACAGAGGGGATGTTTGATGTTCTCATTGTCTCCTCAGCATTTTCAGAAAAGAGCTTTGGTTTCTTACTATTTTAAAAATATTTCAAAAAATAATAATGTACTATTTGTTGTCCATGCTTTTAATAACATTAGATTATTTTTAGTTGATAAAAATACTTACTTACAAACCTATTTTGAATTTCTAAATATAACATCTTTTAAACATCAAAATAAGGGTAACTCTTACTTGGGTATTTTGGGACTGTCAGTTGTTCAAGACTACTAATTTGTCAAAGCTGACAGGTACAATTTTATTAGCTCATGAAATACAAGTAAGATTTTATTTTGTATTAGTCATTCCTAGAGAAGTTTTGATTATGAGTAAATTTTTATTTCATTATTGAAACTTCCAGGTGTTCATGCTGTGTATCTTCAGTGAATAAATATATTCTGTAGAGATTTTTTTCTTAATATAAATGACAAAACTTTATATTAGTATTTTTCTTATAAAACATTTTCCAGCATTCTAGATCATGATTAGCTAACAAGAGAGAAAGTTGACATATATATTGCCATGTAAAAGATCGATGTAATTGGGGAAAATATCATAGAACTTGAATTGAGTCAACCTTTTTTAAAAAAATACATTTCTCAAAGTATGCTTTCGATATAGCAATTATTACACATCATATAGCATGTAGTTTTTAATTAAATATAAAAACAGACTACATAAAACAGAAATCCAATCTGATTTGCTTGAAAATAGATTGCTATTTCACTCTACAGAAATGGTTTATTTAAAAACAGTAAATGGAAAAGAAATGCATTTTCTTGTGTTGTTCTAAGCCTCAGGGGCTAAATGTAATGAATATTTTAAGAGATTATTTTAATTAAATTCCTGCACATCTAAACAGAGTAATATTTTATTATCACATACATAACCATGTAACTGAGATATTCATTAAAGTTAACACTTTCTGGACCAAGAATTCATGGTATGATTTACTGACCTTGTGCAAAAAGGCACAAATTAGGAAGAAAAATGAAGGGGGACAGACTTTGATTAATATAGGTAATGCTATACCATATTTATAATAGCCTTTTCCCTATTCTGGTTTATAAATGCAGCTACAGAGAAAGGTGCCCTGCTGAGGCTGAAATGAGGCTGAAATCAGAGCACATGCCACTAGAGTGTGGGGAAACTGATCACACTGTCAGCAATTCATTTCAAAATGATGTATTTAGTGCTCATTTCACCTTCCAAGAAAGAAAAAGGAGTTCCTTAGACTAGAAGGTGATATTGTTATTTTCAAGGACATACCTAAGGTAAAGATTGCAGAAAGGGGAGTGTGAGATGGAGGGAGAATTAAGAGGAAGGAGAGAAAAAAAAAAGGCAGAGCAAACAAGGAGAGCTTTATGCAGAAATTCAGTGCTACCACGCTGTTTGATAATTGCTAACATATGTGGCTTCTCTGTTTCATTGTAGTCGTCCTCGTGAGTTCTGGCGCCTTGACTACTGGGAAGATGACTTGCGGCGCCGGCGACGATTTGTGCGTAACCCTCTAGGATCGACACATCCTGAAGCGACACTAAAAACAGCCGTGGAGCATGGTCAGTGTATAAAGCAGTCCTTGCCAATAGCAGCAGGTACAGTACTTGGTAATGAAGGCATAACTTCATTATTACAAGTCACTGTAGAATGATCCAACACCACATTTCACGGTTACTCACCCCAGAAAGAGAAGTTAAATTTTTTATAGTTAGTATAGGATCCTATTAAATTATAGTGTCAGATATATTCATTTGTTACACATACAAAATTTACTTAACACAGACCCTTTGTTTCAGAGTGTTAGGATTAAGTATTTCTCCTTTTACGCGACACATTCAGCTTCAAGCGAATTAATCCAGGAAGCCTTTCTTAAATCAGGAATATCATCAGAAAGATAGCATTTACAAACCAAATGGATTTCTATGTTCTGTTGTGGGTAAATGATTTTCCACCAACCTGGGTATTTTAGCATGAGATTATGAAGTGGGAAAGATAGTAATAAATGTCCAAGCGCCTGGATACTTTCTGAGTCTTGATTTGTGGGTGGTTATGATGGATGGCTCATGGAAAAAGAGAATGGACGTTATTTTCATGTTTCTATTCTGCATCATCATGTATGAGATCTTAACAAAACATTTTTTCCTTTTTGTTACAATGCATATGGCTATGATTCTGCTTAGGTAGAAGTCTGACAAGTAAATTGGAAAAACTGGAAAGGTGCTTTGGATTTGATAATATACTTTCTTTGATCATAGAGTTTCCGTTATTATTTTATGATTTTTGAAAGCCAATTAAGATATATTGATTAAGGAGGAAATGCCCTCACCATGTTAAAATTATTTTGGTTTAAACTATAAACTGGTGTATTAATAAGGTCAGAAATAGTTTTAATTTCCCTTTTTCAGGATATTAGTTTAACATGCAGCAGCTTATGATTAAATGGAAATATGCAGTATACAAAATAAATGTTAAATTATATTCCATAAGGATATTAAAAATTTAGATTAAAAGTCAGTAATCTTAGGTTTGGCCTCAGTCAGGCAGCTTAACCTCTTGCACTCAGCCTTAAAGAGCCATTTCTGGAGGAAAATGTCCACAATATGTCATCAGATATAACACCAAATGTGACATCAGTCCTTTAAAATAAATGATCATACAGAGAATAGTCAATAACAAAGTGATCTAAAAGCAATAATAGTCTCAGGGTCCTACATCTTCCACTACAGGAGGTGGGGAAAGAAATAAAATGTAGATTTAATTAGGCCACTTTTGCTTTTAGGGTGCATATACTTTTTATGTGGTGACATAGTTTTCATTTTTTTTCTTTTTCTTTCCCTTTTTTGTTTTGTTTTTGGTTAATGATGCTTACATTGAGAGAATTAGCTTTTTTGCAGTTTTATTCTTTTCAACAAAACAGATATTTACCAAGCGCATTAAAATTTGAAATGTAATAATTATTTTTCTGTCTTCTAAACTGTCTTTTAACAGTGACTTGTGGGTTCTGGGGTCTATGCATGAAAATAAAATGTTTTCATAAAAAGTTTTTTATATCTGGAAGGGGAGGACTTGTTTCTTAAAATCACATATATACAAACTATTAATGTTTTATTCTGAGAGGAATATCACTAGATTTAAACAGTTGTAGTGCAGATTTTATACAGAATTTATTAGAAATGCATTCTTATCAAAAATAGTACGTTTAACCATTTTGAGGAATTACAAGGTTCTTAATAATGAATCAATTTTAATTTTAATTTATTTAAAGTTTAATGAAATTTTATTTTATTGTTTAATATAATTTTATTGTTGGACTTTACCTTTTAAAATAATATTGTTTTTTCAACTTTTTTTAATGCTAAGCATCTGCAGTGATGTTTGAAAAAAAGATATTTATTGCAATGCTTTTACCATCATTGAAGACTTTTTTGACCTATTTAGAAGCAGATTTCACTGTGACTACACTATATAGTATTAAAAGGTTAACACACTGTTAATTAGTTATTTGTGTTTTGTTTTGTATTTTTAAATTGAGAGAAGCAAGGGTAAGCATTTATGGATTACATTTTATTTAGTAATATTTTACAGTAATCTTATGATTAATATTTAAAACACTCCAAGAGATTAAAAACAAGAACTTAAATTTGAAATATATATTATAAGAAAACTGACCAAATTTGTAGGAGATGCTTCAATAGTCTTACAATTAAGGAGATATGTCATATTTAATATAACATTTTGGCAAAAAGATACGAGCTCTAATTAATCATATTTTGTTAATATATTTTTGTTTTAAATAATAAGGAAATATTATTTCTGAAACTCAGCACATAGATTTTTATTATGGTATTGTTTGATATCAGCATAATTTATGTGAATACATTCAATAAGCAAAGAGCTTAATTTTTTAATGGTTTATTAAATAAAGTATCTTATAGGTGACATTTAGTTTTAATTTTGTGTTAACTTTGCAATTCCATCTTTACTTTTTGGAGCACTATGGAAGCTAATCAAAATATACATATTAAGAATGTGCATGCAAAACAAAATAGTTAATGTGATTAAAAGTTGAAATTCCATAATTTTTAACATGGATAAATACTAGGCTTCAATAATGAAGTATTTAAATAAGTATTTAAAATAGATATTACTGAGAATAATATGTCAGTGTTATATTTTTTATGATTTCTTTTATTTATAATTTATTTAACTAAGGAGACAGGACATTTAAAAATGCATCATGAACTATATTATCATTATCAAAGGAAGACATCTAAATAGAAGTGCCATTGGAGATTAGTTATGTATTTTAGGTAGTAAGAGCCATCTTTTTTATAGATTGATTTGATTTGAAGGAAAGCCTCTGGTGTAAAGGTGGCAGAGTAAATACCTGAAGAGTGATGTTCTCTGTTTGGGCGATCAATACCAGCCCCATGACTCTACTTCTGGCTACCTTCTAGTTAAAAACAAATTTTTTAATTCTGACAATTTAATTGGCCTTCCCAAGTTCACATTAACTTGCTTGGGGAAAAGAGCTTTAGGTAATTTTTCATACAGAGACCCTCCAAAGTGGTTATTTATAAAAGTCATGTTGTAATGGGAGATTTCTTTTAACTTTGCAGAAACTGAGTCATATTTTAAAATTAAAATTAATACTTCCTCTCATGATTAAATATTCTTTATGGAAATTAGCAGCAGCAAGCAAAGCTAGATATTTGATTCCTAAGGGCATTTTCTTCCTTCCATTTTATAGTTTTAAAATTTATTAGAAATCAGTTGTAATGATTCGTAACATTTTCCTAATGCAGAGAGCCCCGTTTGGCAGTTATTTATTATCAGAACTTTTTAGATATGGAATGAACCTTAGGCTAAAATCTAGTCTAACTTTATTCTTTACAGAGAAGGAAACTGAGGAAATTGGGAACCAATATAATTCTTGGTAGATAAAGAACCAAAGCTTAGGTTAACTGATGACTAGTCAGGTTTTCATATCAGTGTCCTACGCTGTCTTCTAAAATTCATTGTTAAATATAATGGCAATTTTATATTCAAATTAAAACCCTGTAAAATTGTTTTAAACAGTAGAAAGATTGGTTTTAATTCAAGTACTGAAACAGTTTAATAGTAGAATCCTACTGAATTCAAGACATTTTTATTTTGTAGAGAATTTGCTTCCTAATAGAAATATATAAGGAGGATTTAACATAGTTAAAAAGTGTCTTGTAAGCATGTAGAGTGATACAAGTAACTCACTTGGTTTTCTAGGATGACAGATCATGTAAAGATCCTAAGCCGTGCCAGATCAGCATACACAGTACTAGGTTCTCTAGCTAAAACCTTTGGGTAACCCATGATCATTAGGAGATGCACTTGGCTTGTTCTCCTGATCATCCTTTGTAATGTTACTGTTTTTTTTTTTTTGAGTTTGCGTCTCACTTTGTCTCCCAAGCTGGAGTGCAGTGGCACAATCACGACTCACTACAGCCTGGACCTCCTGGACTCAGGCGAACTTTTGCCTCTGTCTTCCAAGTAGCTAGGACCACAGGCATGTGCCACCATGCCTGACTAAAAATAGTTTCACTAATTTTTCTAGAGTAAATTTTTTTGACTCAGAATGCTATGCAAATAACAAACTACAAAGGGGAATTAATTTGATTAGGACAATGATTGATTATAAGATATTCCTTGTGAGTCCTGTTCAGAATACCGTTATGGTATGTGATTCTCATTCCATGTGACTGACTATAGTGGATATCCATATTTGTTCTGTGAACATTTGGAGTCACTTTGTTCTTCCAGTCTTTTTTTTTAAGTGGTTAATTATTAAAGTATAAACTTTAACTGAAACATAGGCTATTGATAATTCCACTTTACTGGCTGAGTGGATGTTTGAAAGAACCTTTCTTTTACATTGTAAGTAGAACAGTTTTCTGTATCCTTTTGTCCTTTTTCTATTTTAATTGTACTTACTGTCTTGTGGTAGATAAATCAAGTTGTACCCAGAGTGAGCTCTAAAAATCTTTGCATATTGAGGAACTGCTTCTGCTTTCATTGTTCTTAGCTTTAGTGAATCAAGAGCCATGTTTTAATGATAGCATTGTTGACATATTTCTCCAATTTTATGTAACAATTGCAGTTTAATTACTAAGTTACGATCAATATTAAACCGGAATAAAAGGTGAGATTAAACCAGAATAAAAGGTATCTGTTACTAGTGATATGAAAAATGTACACAGTGATTATGTTTAGTAACAATATCTGATATTATTTAGTAAATATCTGAATCAAGCTTTAAAATTGAACCAAAAGTATTTCTGATTTCATCCAGTTACAACTTTTAGACTAGTGTAGCATATGCTTACAGACCGATATCAAAATAGTTAATACTTGTTTATAGTGGTTGATTGAGTATAAGACAAATGAAAGTTAAAAACATACTTTCCCCCAGCACATATAAACATGATAATTATCTTTTATTTTATGTTTGGAACAGTTTTGTTCTAATTTTGGGGGGAAAAAGTTTCTTAGCAGAAAGCTATTAGACCACTGAGAATTGAACACCAGCGCATGTGGTGTGTATTAGAGTACTGTTGGTAATTTTACTGCTGCTAACTTAAAATCCTCAAGGGGGAGTTAATTACAGGAAAACCATTCTAAATATCAGTAAGCTGCATATTTTCCATGACAAGAGGTTTTTCAGTTGAGGTTGAACAATTCCAGAATCTGAGCTTGTAAAAATAAGTAAATAAATAAAAGTGGGTGTGTATATGCATTCAGTACACCTATGTTACTTAATTTTTTAAATAAAACTTTATTTAATTCAGAAGTTATTGCATTTTAATATTAGCATGACAAGGAACATATTTTTAAAATTTTTAATTGCAATATGAAGGGATAACACATTATAGTTTTAGTGGTCATTGAAATCAGTATGAACTTATTTATAGAGCAATTTTAAGACCATTGCGGATTGCCATTGGGGAATCTCATTTTTTAAGTTATTTGCAGATTAAAGAGTTCTCTTCTTTTTTTTTTCTTTCAAATAAGCTTGGTGTACTTTAGGACATGTATGGCAATAATCAGAGAAAGTAATGAGCAAGGTGTTGAATTTAGTTATTTCTCATGTGTTTGGCCTATGTTCATCAACTTGGGTCTGGAAATGAATATTTTTTATTCTTCACTAGTTTATTGTGATTTTGATTTAATCTTTTAAAATGCACTATGAGAAACAGGAATTAGTATAAACAAATTAGTAAGTTACATATACATTCACATTTGTACAGTGGTTGTTTTCCTTTTCTTTACCTTCTTACGTGTAGGAGATAGTATGGCATAGTGGTTAAGAGCACAGATTCTAGTACCACACTGTCTGTTTATAAACCCTGACTCCAATTTTCATGAGCTGTGTTACCTTGGGCAAATTATGTATCCTCTCTGAGCCTGTCTTCTTACCTTGACTTGAAGAACTAGCAGAAGGTTTATGAGAATTAAAGTTAGCTATTTATCTTGAACACTCCCCCTGTACATGATACTTGCTATATCATATTAGCTTTATTATCAGTATTTCTACTTTGAAGAAGGAATTATAAATTCATAAAATGAAAATAATTTAGCATACTGATTCTGTACTAAAATCAAACTGGCAAATAATAATTTATAATAATGTACTTTATAAGAAAATTAGACAGTGGTGCCTTCTTTTGCATTTCTCAGTGGTCAACTTATTTTTAATAAAGTTGATAGTAAATTGCTAAAGATCTTGTTTGGGCTAAGGACAGTGTTTCTTATTTTAGAGTAAGTAAATATAGATAATTGAAATATAAACAATGGTATAAAGACATAATCTATTTTCCTAAAAATTAGTGATTAATAGGTATATTTCTTTCTAGTTTTTTAAAAAATAAAGCCACTTTAATTATTAGATGCATTAATGTAATCTTTTCAAATATTTTTCAAGATCTTCATTTGTTTGTAACTTACTATGCTGCATGTGAGTATGAAAGAAAATTAAGATTTTATTTACCCACAGAGTGCATTCAGAGCTAAATACAGAAAGCTTCTTTCCATGACTTTCTTATTTAATAGAAAGCTCCTATGTTCTTTTAAGTTGTACCATAAGTATTGTATATAAATGGTATACAAGGTGAATTCACAGTAAATAAGAGAAAAAATAAAAATAAACCTTTCTCTTTAACCTTATCCATAAACATACCTATTAAACCTAAAGAAGCTTTGATCTGCCAAGTTAACCAGGTGACACATGTGCAGTTTGTTTAACTATTTGGGATACATTATATAGAAATATATGTCATGTTTTTGCAAAATGACTGCTTTATCCTGCCTGGGGTCTAGCCCTTGCAGTGGAGCAAAGACCCTGCCACCTGATTTCCATGTCAATGACTACAGCCTGGGTGGATCAGGTGTTTTACCTCTAGGATTTATCTAACTGGAAACCAGGAGTGTCAGGTAGAGATCCTTAACTTTCCCTATGTGCACCCATTTAAAAAAAAAAAAAGTTAGGAAAAGATATACACGTGAGCTTTTTCAAATCACAATTCAGAAGTTAGTGTCTGCTTTCCTGCTTTTCTTAAGGAGAAAGCTGCTCAAAACAAGGGGTGTGGTCCTAGAGGGTTGTGGGGTTGTGAGTTTCAGTGTTTCCTGTCAGTTGCTTCTCTGCCCCTGCCTGATCCTGTTGTTGCCTGTAGGTGTTCTGCAGAGCGGCTGCTTCACTGGCTCCCTAGGTTTGGTGTTCCCTCTCTCTCCTCCCTCTGGCAGTTGCTGCCTTGTTGCAGAGCCTGAGTCTGGTGTTGCTTCTCTCCAGAGGCTGCTCCAGTTTGGGCTGCATGAGGCTCCGTGCCCACAGGCCTCTCTGTTATGTTTGCCCCCGGGGTGCCATAGCCTTTTAGTTTAAACATGCAGAGGAGGTAGTGCTGGAACCTCCTCTTAGTTTCCACATTGCCTTGCTCCTGGATATTTGTATAAGGGGCCAGGGGCGGGAGAGTGAGTGTATGTGTGAAATGTGGGGAGGACACTCTGGAGGAAGGAAGGAGGGAGGATGGAATAAAGAGGAAGAGAAGGCCGCGTCTGGGAACTGCTGTAGCTTTGTGTGTGGATATGCCTTCAGTATCTGGGCCCAAATCCTCACTGACTGTGAACCTCTCTTAGCTTTGACCCTTCTGGATTCTCTTCCACAGCCACTGCCCAGCCATTTCAGAATGTTTGTCAGTATAATATTATTTGGAAGAATGAATCCATCCTTCTTATTTTCCAGTGTTAAGTAGTTATTGTTTCCACACCTAAGTTCTGATTTTTCCAATTAATGAATTTCCTTTAAAAAGTGCTGCTTTTGAACTTGCTCCTCCTTCCCTAACTATAAGCAAATAAATGGTTCGGTGAGCAGTGCAGGGGTCAGATTTAATGGGATTAGGGTGCATGTTTAGGGTAACATTAGACTAGCTTGGGGGATCGAGTTTGTCAGAATGAGCGTGTGTGCCATCCCAATCACTTTTCCCACTGGAGATGACTTTCTGTGTGTAAAAGAGTGACCATCTTTGACCACCTACCCTTACCTCAGCCCCTACCCTCTGCCAAAGTGCTGTTCCAAGAGCTGATGGACAGCTTTGTTTCCTTTTCATTTCAGCCGCAGATGAAGATATCCTTGCTAAAGGAAAACAGTCCATCAAGAGTCAGGCTTTAGGAAATCAGAACTCAGAGAATGAGATCCTCTTGGAAGGCGACGACGATACTCTGTCATCCGTGGATGAGAAAGATTTAGAGAATCTTGCCGGTAAATTCAGTGGTTGTGCAGACATTTCAGCTAGCTCGTGGGACTATAAGCATCTAATTACTTACTTTTTCAGCTGTGACCGCTAGGACTCCCAATCTTACACTCACAATTACATTAATTAGAGATTGTTTTTGTTCTTGCAAACATTTTCCCCCTCATCTAGTACAGTTTCTCTTTTACTAATCTATGCAGTCTCCTTATCCTCCTCAGTTTTTTTCTTTTATGATTTTCACTGAAAAAGAAAAATGTTTAAAAACAGCAGCAACAAAACGAAATTGCTTCACACATCCCATAGGAGTTACCAAACCTCTGTAAAATTAAGACTATAAGTAAAATTTGGCCAGTTATTTTGTAATTAAAGTTTGGAAGGAGATGAGCTATTTGCTTTGATACACAGGTCTTAGTGAACATATTGCATGTGCATCTAACTCAAAAAATCAATTCCAAGAATTTCACAAGATTCCTTCACAAGATTCACATATTTTTCTTGATGTAGGAATTTTGATTTGCACTCTGCAGATTCTCAGTTTTACTTCCCTTGTGGGAGAAATTCTCTTGTTTAGCCTGACATTTTAGTCATTCATTAAATTGCTTTTTTTTTTTTTTTAAATGCCTGTGGCTATGTCCCTCAAAGAAGAAAGAATGAAAACATACTATAATTTATATAGGTGAAAATTACATAGTCTTCCATTCAGTTGATTTTGAGAGAAAGGGGATTAAAAATCTTTTATTTGGTGACATATCTGCAACCTGTGCTCCCAAGCAACTTGACAAGGAAAAGCAAAAATGGGAGATAGTATCTTCTCTGATGACTGTAAACCACTCTGTAAAGTAAAATAAAATTAGTTGGTGGGAGTGGAGAGTAGGGTGGATAATGCTATTCTCTAGTACTTTTTTTCCACATTCATACCCCTTTCCTCCTCTATTGTACTTCTATTCTTGTTACTAGTAATACATTCATACAGTAATAGAGGTGAAAGGGGAGTTTAATTATATAATCTTGACAATGGCAATAGGATTAAGAAGTAATCCACACTAATAAAGTGGTGTGGGTTAGAAATGAAGTGGAAATTGTCAGGGGTCTTCTGTAGGACCTAGGCTGCCCTGGCTCCTGCAGCTGTCTGCTTACCCTGTAATTGAATGTCTGAGAGTGATTGAAAAAATGTTATTTCTTCTCAGTATTACATGCTAATGTACAGAGGGCAAAAGGAGACAGCAAAAGAACACATAGCTGCTTATTTCATCCATTTATAGGGATGAGCTTTGGGAAATCATGGCCGTTCTGCAGCTATCTGCTGCCCATCTGCAAACACAATGTATTTGTACGTTGGGAATAGAGGGCAAAACCTGCTCTGATCTCCGCAGAGCATCCCTTCTATTGTCCTACTGGCACACATTAAGATTGATGTGAGATTAAGGACCATCACCCTTCTCACAATCGATGGAAATGTCAATTCATCTGAATTTTGAAACACTTATTCACTCATTGATTACCTGAATGGGCACACCTTGTTTATAGGCACTATATTAATTCAGAGCTGTAAGTGCCAATCTTCTCTTCTACTATTTTCTTCCCCTATAGGATTTGTACAACGAAGAATTAATGTGGTATTTCAGATTCTTTCTATATCTAACTCTATATATGTATGTGTGTGTTATATGTTTTTTTAAAAAAATATAATTGTTTTTAGCCTTTATTTTAGGTTTAGCTCTAATATGCTTTATACTGTTCTATCTGTAGGGAATCTATTGTTTTCAGTAGTAGTCTGATTTGTCTCTTTGATAAGCCCTGTGGAGATTTGATTATTCCAATAAAAATTCATTCACTTGGAAACCCACCCTCCAGCTGTTTACTCCCAGAGTCCCTGAACTACACTAATATTAGATTTGGAAGCATTGAACAATATTTAACAGTGGAAAGGAAGGATTAGAAAATTAGTATTTGTACCAGTCTTTGATGGGGTAAAGTTTTAATGGAAGAGGATTTGTGTAAACCTGGCACAAAATCTTTATCAGAGAATATAGTTCAGTATTTCTCACTTCATTAATAAGGTAGTGAGTGATCTTTTTGTAGTCATGTCTCAGCTAAACTCTTAGCTCACCCCTGGCCCTGAAAGGCCTATTGAGGCTGCCTTGCTCTTGGTTGTTGTTCCATGTTGTTTGATAGCCTGAGGCTTGTTTTCTAAATGGAATGTGAATCGACTTATTTAAGCAGAGTCACCTTCTTACCTAGAGATTAGACCAAAGCTTTGCAGACTCCCTGTAAAATAATTACATTCTAGTTTAGTGTTATTATTAACCTCCTGTTAATAATCCTGTCTTCTAGTGTAAGAATCCTAACTGCATTTTCAGAGAAAGATTTGGGGTAGATAGAAAATGTATATATAGAAGGAAATGGTAGGCAGTTTAGTACAAGAAGTGAGAATAACAAGATGAAATAAAATTTCTGGTCAAATGTGATTTTTTGAAGTAATTCTAACTGGTGTGGCTTATTTTTTATTTTATTTTTGGCAGGTCCTGTTAGCCTGAGCACACCAGCTCAGCTTGTGGCCCCCTCGGTTGTAGTAAAGGGCACTCTTTCTGTCACCTCCTCCGAACTCTATTTTGAGGTGGATGAAGAGGATCCTCACTTCAAAAAAATCGACTCCAAGGTGAGAGGATGAGGGTTTTCATGTTTTTTTTTTACAATAGGATGGTGAGCTGGCATTGGTAAATCTGACAGGCTTGGTTCAAATTTCTTTCTAAATTGCCTTGGCTTATATGCAATACAGTTATCTTTTTAGCTTATTGTTCATTACCAGTTAGTTAGATTATTGAAGTTCATTTAGATTCAAAACAATTGCCACTTAACTATTTATATCTATCATGAGCTCATTGTGGGGAGGGGAGGGGAACCTCAGGGAACCTTGTCTATAAATATATTGTGCCTCAAAGGTCAAGGGTGAATTAAGATACAAAATTCAGTGAGATTGAGGGTGGAATTATTTTGTTTAGCCTTTATGTTTTCTGGATATGATATCAATATATCACTCTCCTTGCTTTGGCCCCATGACTTACTACTCTGTCGTGCATGCAAGCATGTTTTGTGTGTGTGTGTGTGAGATACCTCTGTTTCCCATTACCTGTGGTAGATTTTACAAGGCACTGCATAATTTTCTGTTCTTAAATGAAAATGTAATTTCCCCTTTAAATGCATTTCTGATTACTTTTCAGACGTTGGCAACTTTGTTTTTACTAAGAAACATTTGTAGCACAGTCATAAAAGCCAAAATTGGGTTTACTGCATGAAAGAGAATGGTAGAATTTGCTCTGAGAGGAAACAGTTTCTTTAACAATGAGCAGAATAAGCAACCTGTAGAAAAAAAGTAGTTTAAAAAATGGAATAATTTACTTTACAGGCTGATAGTTTGTGTGTATGTATATATACACGTACACACACACATTTTGAGTTTATTGGTAGGAGGTTCTTTGGTTTTGTAATCATGTGAATTATTAAATTTTAATGATTCTAAGTATTTCAAAGTAGCTCTTGATGAAAATGTTAAAATTTTATTAAAAACTTTACAAACAAATCATTTCTTAACAAATGTCTTATGTACATTTCCAGCACTTTGTTTCAATATTGCTGTCTTTATTAACACAGTGTTTGGTAGACTGTATGACAAGAAAGCTATGATGGACAAATAGTTTTGAGCTTTATAATTCAGGTAATCGAATGTAGAGAAAGCTTTAATTCTGAAATTGCATCAACTAAAAAAATTTTCTACTTTGTTGCATGGCTGAAATGTCCAAAAATGCATTTTGGTTTCTTTAGGAAAGGAATATTACCAGAATTTCTTAAACTCTCTGATTTCTGGTAATTTCTGAATTTAAGAGAGACTGGAATTTAATTCAGAATATTCTGGTATGCTTTTGGACACATATGGCTTAAAGTCTGAAATTTGATTTAATGTTAAGGTGTCTAATGAACTGTTCTCAAAATTAGAACCTCTGCCAATCTTTAGATTAGGTTCTTTGAAGTCATTGGCTTCTTTGAGGGAAGTTACAACTTTTATTTTTCTCTGATCTTATTCTGTGCAGCATCATTAAGTTAATTTTTTCCCTGTTGCTTGTGAAATATGGATATCTTTTGGTCTAATCAGGAAATGGTCTTGTATCACTACAACCTGCCTAATATTCCAGAAAACAAACCTACTGCCCACTTACATTTAAAATTTTTTTAACCAATTACTAAAAAAATTTTTAAATTTGTCTAGACATCAGTGCTTTAGGGTGTTTTGTAAATGAAGAAATTTATATAAATGAACAAACACATTTATGTTGCTGCAGTGTTTTTCTTTTTCTTTCTTTTTTTTTTTGCGTCAAATTAAATAAGGCAGAAGAAAAAGATCTTGAGATACTGAATTTGGGGGATTTCTGTTTCTTCTTGTCAAGACTGAGAAACTTTTTTCCTGGAATAGTTGGGGGGAGATAAATGCCTAGTGCTCTACATACTTTTGTGAGTGGAAAAGTGGTCATTTTAAGATACCATTTTTATCTTTTAAACTGAACACTGTTCCTTTAAATCATTTTATGCAAATATAAGCACCTATTGCTTGTTTTGAAAGTGTTCTTAAAATTCAGAACATTTTTGCCAGAGAATAAGTTGGTTTTTATTATTTATAAGAATCTGTGTGTTTGTCTAAACCACTTAGTATTACAGTGAGTTCATTCTATACCTACAGAGAGAATAGAAAAATAGATATAATATAGATTGAATGAGATGATTTCAGAATTGATAGGACCAGAGTTTATATTCTTAACAGGACTGTTTTTTCCCAGGGAGTCTTACAACTTAAGCCTACTTGTCCAGTGAACTGGGCTTCAGACCCCTGAGTGGCTTTCTTGTTTCTCATGTCTCTCTGCTGTCCTGCTGCTCATACCTCTGTACGCCCCCTCCCCTACTCACACTTCTTCCTCTGATCTTTAAAATGGCTTTTTTTTAAAAGAATATTTTTCTCTACAACCTCTCATTCATGAATTTTTTTCAGTAAGTTAAAAACTGGGCTAATAGAAAGAATACATTTTGTGTATTAAAGGGTAATAACTGACATGTTCTGTACCTGTACCTCACCATCAGCATAACTAACAGTATATCGTTACCTCCAACATAAAGAAGACAAACCAATTCCTTTGGGATACTTTCAGTTTTACTAATTATTTTATTTTCTGATAAGCTATTTCTTTGCATTAAAAAAATTTGTTAAAACTGAAACACTGAAAGAGTATATTGGTTTGTTACCTTAGAAAAGCAGAAAGAGGAGAGGAAGAGGAAGGTACTTTTCCTATTGGTAAATTCTCAGAACAATAGTTTTTCTTTGGTTATAAAAATGGCATGAATTTCAACAGCTTCAGAATAATTCTTGAAATTTGATAAAAATAATCACACTTATGCCATTTATAACTAAGCCATTTTAAAATTGAAGTAATTTATAAATCTGAATTGTTATTACTTTTTGGTGTGGTTGATTTAACTGCTAAATATTTATTATTTAAAGCTTGGGGACAGCTTGTTGAAGCAAGGTATCAATGGACTTTGTTAACTATTTAGAAAAATTTGTAAATATTTTCTTTGTATTTCGGATTCAGATTGGATTTTTAAAAATTATGGTATAAGAAAGCAAATCTTAATTTTGAATATGAAAGGTTTTTTCCCCTTATTTTAAGCATTAGGGCCAAAATCTTATACAGTTTTATTATTTCAAGTGTAAAATAGATGTTACTTTTAATCTTAAAAATCTACAGAACTAGTGTACATTATAGTTGAATAAAATTAGGATTTTCTCTTTCCTAAGGATTTTGGTGGCAGTTTCTACAGAATTCTACAAAATGTGCTGTATTTTACATTTTGTAAATCAGCGTTCAAGTGGAAATTTCTTGCATTCAGTTTCTCAGGCTTGCTTCTTTATATTGCAAATTATAAACTGTGATCTCACCTGCCTTCATTTAAGAACAATCCACAAACAGTCCATTACAACATAAAGCAATGTTTTTATTACTGTTTTCAACAAGACTTCGGGTGAGGGTAGAGGTGCAAGATAAGGAGGGGCACAGTCTGACATTGGCACTGAGATACATTTCACATCAGTAAAACTTTTTTTAAAAGAGAAATTTTACATATAGTTAAATAATTTTTTCACTTGGTGACAACATTCAGGCAACCCAAAACAATGAAATGAGAGAGAAAGAGAGGGAGAGAAGGGTGGGGGTCGGGAGGAGAGGGCTGGGGGAAGAAGGAACAGGGGAAACTACTATACATTGATTTGAAAATGTACCTTGGGTTTCACTTTGTGGTGGCAAAGCCCGATTGCTTCTTTTGTGTGACCTTTTAAATTCACATTGTTTGGAAGAAAACGATCACTTTTGTGCAAGAACGTGGTTTGTTTTGGTCGGTTTGCTCTCCTTTCGTTGCTGCTTAATTAGCGGGGGTCTTCTGCCCGAGCCCTGCTTGTTTCAGGTGACTCGCGTAAAAGTTTGCGCCCAGAGTTTGTGCTGCCTGCCGCTGGCTTGAGTGTCGGCTGAGCGAGAGCACGCCCGTCTGTGCCGCTTCTCCAGCAGTCCCCGGCCCCCTATAGTTTGTCCAGGCTTTTGGGATTGGTGAGGATTTCCCTGGCCAACCTCCAGGTCTGCTTGGCAGCGCTCTCCAGGGCCGAGTGGGGCTTGCCCTGGAAGAGGTCGAGGTTGGGCAGAAAGTAGTGCGGGCAGCGGCGGCACTGCAGGCAGGAGATGAGCTGCAGCAGGATGCCGTTGAGCCGGTCGCCCAGGCACGACTCGTCCCAGTCCGTCTCCCGCGGGTGCTTCTCGCACTCGTACAGCAGCAGCGTCTTCATGTGGTAGTTGTTGAGCGGCTGGCCCGGCAGCTCCAGGTGGCGGTCCCGCAGCGTCTTCAGCACCGAGAGGCACTTGTTTCGGCAGCCGCCCATCAGCAGGCGGTTCTCCGCCTCGCCGAACTGCAGCACCCAGGCGTCGCTCTCCGCCGAGCTCTGCTTGCCAGTCAGCGAGTAGCACTCCTTGGAGAGCAGGTTGAAGCCTTCGGCCTTGACCTCGGCCACGCGGTTGGGGCCGGGCCAGGGGATGTGGGGCATGGGCCACTGTGCCGCGCTGCGGGGCCAGATGCCGGTGCACTTGAACGCCGGCGTGATCTGCACCACGTAGCGCTCCCGGATGCGCAGCTTGACCTCGCTGGTGTCGGCGATCATCTTGACCACGTCCCGGTAGCTGCACTTGTCCACCGCCTGGGCCACCAGCGTTTGGAAGCGCGAGCGGATCTTGCGCGCCGAGAGGTAGCCGGACGCCGTGATGAACTCGACCCAGAGCGACATGCTCCGCTTGCGCCCGTCGCTCAGCTTGAGCACCGCGCAGCCGGGCAGCGAGCCGTCGTCCACGAAGTTGAAGACGCCCATCTGGTTGAGGTAGAGCACCACCTCGAACTCGGTGGGCGAGATGACCTCCAACCCCTCGTAGCGGGCGTCGATCTCGCTCAGGGAGCTGATGAAGCGCGGCTCCTGCACCTCCACCTCCTTGAGCACGTCCGAGACCACCTTGCAGACCTCGCGGATGGTCTTGGCGATGGCCGCCTTGCGCGCCTGGCAGCGCTCCGTGTAGTATTTGTTGAGCTGGTAGACCAGCTTGGCCTGCGCGGCGATCATGTTGGGGCACAGGTCCGGGCTGTACACCGGCGTCTCGCAGTACGTTGAGGGATCCAAGGCTCGCCGCTGGTGGTGGCCCTGCGGCTCTCCCGAGAGGCGCTGCGTGCCCGAGCCCCGCTTCCACCCTCGCTTCCACCTGGGCTGGCCGGCAGCGCCTGGGGCCGGCCCGCGCGTTCCTTTCCTTCTCTCGCAACTTTTTTTCTTCTGCAGAAGATTAGGGGGGAAAGGGTGATTTTTTTTTTCTTTTTGAAAAGAGAAAAAGTACCTCCTGGGACTTTTTTGCTTTCCCTTGATGTGTAAAGTAAAGATGACCTTGTGCGAGAGATGGGGGTCGGGAGGTGGAGAAGGCGAGAGAGAAAAATTCAGGTTGCCAAGAGGTTAGGCTCAGAAGTCTGCATCCGAGATTGCCCAGAAATCTGGAAATGAGGGCTTTTAAGTGCCAAAGTAAATTTAAAAATAGAAGCGACGCATTCAGGGGTTCATTCTTAAACTCTTCCACGCTGGCAGGACGTCTTCACTCGGCTAGGTGAGCGCCTTCCTCCTCGCCCTCCCCGGTGGAAGGTGAAGGGTGCAGGCGTCGTCCAGAGCCCCGCCAACTCGGCCGCCGCACGCGCGCAGCTTTGCAGACGCCCCGCAGTCCCCGCGTGCTGGTCGCGTCTCTGCTCCGGGGTCGTGTTGTGGCAGTTTCCCTCTTTTCCTACTGGAGGCGTTGTTTGCACTGGGTCGGTTTGTTTGTGGTGGCTTCTTCTTGTCTTTCTCTAGGTGCAAACCGCTGGAAGTTGTTTGATATTCATTTCTGCTTCGTAATTTATACTTTTGGCCCTCACAAAATCTATTTTAGTGTGACGAAGTCGTTGCTTGCGTTGCATCTGGGATGTAGTTACAACGATTCAGGGTTTTTCTTCTCCTCCTCTAGGTTGCTTGTACGATTCCACTTTCTGAGTCGTCTCTCCCTCCTCCCCACTTCTCTCTCACCCCTCCCCCTCGATCCCCTCTCCCTCGAGTCTCAGTGTCTGTCTCTCTCTCTCTCAAACCCCTCCTTCCCCCTCTGTCTGCCCTCCCCCCGTCTCTCTCCCTCTCTCTCTCACTCTGTCGTCTCTCTCTGTCTCTCTCTCTCTTTCCCTCGCTGCTTCCTGGAGTTATTTAGTTTATGAATGGTCCCAGGGCCATCATGAGGGGGGTGGAGCTTCAGTTCCTACAATCGCTATCCGAGCTGTCAGTGCTTTAGCCAATCCGAGAGAGAAGACAGGCACGCTTGGCAAACGGTAGCAGCCACCACTGCACTTGATAAAGAAAGGGGGCAATGAGAGAAGTAAGAAAATAGGAGGCGATAGTAGAAGTCAGATGCTTGCACACGTTTCACAACCCCCTCTTCTTTATCCTCCTCTCTTACCAGTTGCAAAGAAGAAAAAGAGCGTCTGTGCAGAAGGGACTTTCCTGGAGGTGGCTGGAATAACTCGAGGGAGAGTAGCAGTGGTTCAGAAGGGTTCATTTAAAAAAAAAAAAATTCTGTCAACATTGTGCAGAAGAAGGCGCAAACTCGAACGACAAACTTACTTCGGCAAATGGGAGGAGAAAGGAGAATCTGGGAAGGGACCTGCTCCTCCTAGGTCTTTTCCTCCTGAAAGTCTCCCTGGTTCTCCTCCCCTCGTTGCCAAGAGCCAGAGCAGTTGCTGTATGTGTGCACCAGTGGGGGCTGCAGTGGACACGGGGTGAGGGTTTGTGACCATAAATCTCTGCAGGCATTTCTGTAGCTGTGGAAAACCGGGCAGGGCAAAAACTAGTCCAGACACCTTGTTGGATAATTATTTTATAATTAAGGTTCAGCTATATTTAATGCCATTATTTTAGGGTTACAAGAACTTACCGTTACTAGAGAGAAATTATCTAAGTTGTGAGAAATGGTGCAGATTTATAGGTGGTAGAATTTGGTGAGATATACTTTCAAATTATAAAAGTAAGCTACTAAAATTGTTTCATACTAAGTGAAAATAAAGGGGGAAGTAAATGAGAACTTGAATTAAAGTTGTCTTAAAATGTTAGCGTTGTAAATCTAATTTTGAATATATTTTCAGACAGTACAGAGTTTCATTTGTAAAGTGATTTTCTTTTCATAATTGATTCTTGCTTTTAAAAGACTTCACTGCTTCAAAAATCTATAACTATCCTGTTATTGATTACGCAGATGGCTTCACTCCTTCCTAGGCATGAAACTCACGCATGTGCCTTTAGTGTATACATTATCCTTAACAAGCCTTAGCCTTTCATACTTGTGAATTAAAAAAAAATTAAAAACTGTAACATTGTTTCTGATTTGCTAAGTATTCAGGGTTTGTGTTTGAACCTAGGGTGTCTGGATTCTGAGTCTTTTTAGCACATGTCAGGTAGAGGTGTTTATTTTTAGCTTGATTTTGGGAGGTTATATTCCAGCCCTAGGTTATGCGATAAAAGTAAAACTCCATGAAGCCGTTTGGGTAAGGCTTCGTGTTGGAAAACCTGCTAGTGCGGCTTTTGCACACCCCCTTGGGAGGGCTTGACTTGGCCTCTTAAAGTCCAACCAGGTGACCCTGAATTCAGTCGCACAGGAAAGTTTATTTTTCTCCATCTACTTGGTGTCAGACGCTTGGACTTTTGGTGTTTTTCCCGCGTATCTGGTGCGGACCACAGGCAGCCTGTCGCCCCTCCTCTCCCTTTGCCAAAAGTTCCTTTCTAAAGAGTGTTTGTTTGCTTGCTTGCTTGCTTGCTTGCTTTAAAAATCAACTCGGATTCATTTTTTGGTCTTCGTGGCGAGGAATTAGGAAGAGCGGTCAGAAGTAAGCGTAAGCGAAACTCTGGGACTCGGCGCTTTGGTGAACTTCTCCGAAGTGGCGGGGCTGGGCGGCCGCGGGCTCCAGCCCTCGAGGAAGCCGCGCGCGTCCGGGACGCCCCGCTGCGAGGGACGGAGCGCGGCCGCGGGGTCCGCGCGTGGGCGCCCCGCCCGTGGCTCCGGCGCTCCGGGAGGCACTCCGGCCGGGAGGCGCGGCTGCCGCGGGGAGCTCTGCGACCCTCCGGGAGGAGACCCGCGGCCACGTCTCCCCTGGGCGGTCGCTGGGCGGAGACTGGTGGCAGGGATGGAGGGCGCAGAGCCGGCCCTCCGGCCCTGCAGGCGGTCGCTGCTTCGTCGTCTCTGGCTCGCGGGTGGCTGGAACCCTGCGCGTGCCCCGGCCCGGCCCGCGACGCTCCCGAGAGTGGGTGTCCGCCGGGAGCTTCGGGGGACAGTTAGCCGCTCCCCGGCCCCCTCTCTCCTGGTGGGGCGGACACCCCGCGCCACCTCCGCCCGCGGCTGTGTGGAGCACGCCCAAGTTCTCTCGCACCCTGGTCCCCACGGTTCTCCACTTGCACCTACCGAGGCTGAAGGATGATAAAACGTTACAAATGTTTTGGTTTAAAAACAATTCATTACCAATTTACCCTGTCTAAGGTAGATGCTCTAGTAAATAATAAATCAGTTAAACAAAGGCGACTTTAATTTATGGCCGTGGTACTAATTAGAAACATCATTCGAGCAATAAACTTAAACACTTCCAGCAAATACCGCTCCGCTCGCCGGCGCGCCTCCCCTCCCCCCCGCGCGGCTGCCCGGGCTCCGGCAGCAGCTTCAGCTGCGCGCGCTGGCTGGCGGATCCTCTCTTCCTCGAGTTGAATAATTGAAGGGGGAAACGGCATCCGAGGAGGCTGTAATTGAAGAGCCCCTGTCACCTCTGCTTTTATGTATGTTAGCATAGAAGTCCATCAGCAGCTCCTTGATGGTGTATTAAAACGAAGTGGCAGCTCCTTCTGCAGGAGATACCATATTCTATTAAAGGAGACCAAGTGAGAGAAAGAAACTCGAGAGGCTAAAAGGCACTTCAAGTCTTCAGACCGATTGATCTGTGTTCTCTTGTTATAATCCGTCTCATCATACTTGAGTTAATGAGGCAAAGGAGGGGGTGCGAAATCTGATGGTCCTTGACAAATTCATTAGGGAGGCTGCAGGACATTTTATTTGACTGTTAAACATCTTGTTTGTTTGGTTTAGGCAGTGCCAACATCAGCATGCTTCTGCCCAGGGCTGCGGTGCTGGCTGGCTGCAGGGCATGCCTAAGAAGGGGAGGCAGGAGGACAGCCAGGGTGGGATCTGAACGCTGTGTTTGGGTTGCGGCTTGCTCACAGCCTTCAGACTTCCTTAGGCTTTATCTTTTTCATCGTTACGTTAGGAACATTTATAGGAGTGTAGGTGATAATGCCGAGGTGAGCATACTTTTAGTTACTATAAATTAAAATGTGCATATGTTTAAAACTTTAGTCTGACAATTTCCCTGTCAATCCCTTTTAAAATTCTAGTTAGGTTATAGTAATTACTATAACTACGTTTTGAGAAATGTGAATGTTTAAGGTACAGAAAAGTAGCCGGGTTACTTGTTACATGCTGTTTTTACTAGATCGTGATTAAATAAACTTTTAATAATTGAATTTCCTCTTTCATTGAAACTCTTACGGGGACAGAAACTTGAAAAAAAAAACTGCAAACGTTTTCAAGAGAAAATTGGTATATTTTAATTTGAGGACAGTTTTATACTTAAAATTAGAAGCATAACTGTATAATGGTGCTAAAATAAGGTCATGAGTTGACAATACTTTAAAAAGTGAAAATATTTCTAATTGAGAAATAATGGACAAACTAGATTGCTGACTTTATATTTTTTTATCTTAAGACAGTATTTGATTGTCTCAACATTTTCTTGAAATGTAGTAAATAATCCATTTGTGATACTTGCTTGCATAAATTCAGTTATATTTTCCTTCAGGATTGGCTTAAACAGCCTCAGCTTAAGTGCTTTGAGAAAGAACCCTGTCTTCCATTTATAGGAAAACAGTATGGGAGAAAAAAGAAAACTAATGCCCTTTGCCTGTCATTTTTATACATTCCTGCACTGCTGATGAAGCTTGAACTGCTGCAGGGAATGTATGGATTTGAAAAGAAATGATTCAGTAGTTCATGTTGTGTTTCTCAGAAGCAAAACCAAACTAATGGCTGAAGTCAGTGCTTCTGTACTCTGACAGTTATAATCCTGTTTACGTTTCTAGAGAATACAGAATCTTTAAACTGTTTTATTTTTTGCTGATCTTTACTTAGAAATGTGTTTACTGAGTTAAACTTTAGTGCATTTTTTTATCTTATCAGATCAGTGAGGCATAAAAGCTACCTATTATTTTATTATCTGTAGAGATAATATATAAAATATATAGTAATAATCTATATAAATAATCTACTAAAGAGTACACAAATTTTAGATTACATGAATTTATTTTCCAGGAAACATTTAGGAGCATTCCAAAAATAATCAGATTATTGATTTAAAAGAAATTTCTCTGAAGGATTTATACTTTTTTGGAAAACATAGGACCACATGTTTACCAGTATAGTCATATCCATTAAAATCTAACTTTGAAACATCTATGATGTTGCTAAATTTTTAGTTCTTATATACTTAATCATTCTACATAATTATAAAAATGCTTTATTTTTTTAAAAAAAACAAAATTCTTTTTTTTTTGGTCAAAATATAAATGGGGAAATAAGACACTATTAAAGTTAAAAATTACTTCAGTAAAAACAAAAATTAAATAACCCAAATATGATTTGTTAGTGTATTAGTTGGTAAAACTTTATTGAAATAATTATATTTAAATATATGTAAGAAGATTTAACAGTTGTCAAGATTATACTTTCCACATTATAAGTCAAAATAAAACTACATTCTCTTTTATTATCTGTCAGACGATCTAATTTTCCAAAACTCTGAAGTGTCATAGAGATTGTTTCTAAGCTATTGATAATTATTATTCTGGAATCAATCTAAAATAACCAGTAATTTAATGTTGGCCTTGAGCAATGCACTGTAGTGACTTTTAATAATTTAAAATGGTCAAGCATACTGTTGAAACAAGTTATCTT